GTGGGACGCGGCCTCAGCGTGGCCAGAGAAGCAGTGCGTCGGTGCGCACCCGGGATCCGAACCTGGGCCGCCAGTAGCGGAGTGTGTGAACTTAACTGCTAAGCCATGGGGCCGGCCCCGCCAGTGAATCTTTAATATTTGGTGTATTAAATAAAGAGAAAATTTAAAGATTAATGAACTTAAAATGAATGGCCATATTTTAAGGTACCAAAGAAGGATGGGTTTTAGACCAAATCTTCATGCTTTTAAATATTTGTATTTAATTAAAAATAGTAGTTGTTAACCTTTTCTGCAGTATGTGAGCACTGGTTTTGTTTCTGTAAACTGCTTTGGCAGATATTTTTGGAGTGATTTTAATTCTGAAAATAACTAAAAATTTTTAAAAATTGCTTTTTGTTTTTACCAGTTGAGCAATCAGAAATTATATCAATGCAATTTGTTTGTATTATGTGTTTTCTAGAGAGCATTAGCCCCTCCAGATGTACACCATGAGAGACTGCTTCTTGTTTCAATTCTTGGGTTTGTGGTAAACCTAATAGGAATATTTGTTTTCAAGCATGGAGGTCATGGACATTCTCATGGCTCTGGTATGACGGTTAGCATGCTTTGTTTCTTTATTTTCTGGTTTCTGTTATAATTATTCATTTTTGAAAATTGATAATTTTTAAAGTTAAACTCTGTATTGGTTTTTAATAACAAAAGTAATATATTAATAGACGCTTATTAATGTCTTTCTGAACCATCTCTCCCACTTCTCCATGCCTCTCCCTCTCAGCACCTTCTTAAAGTTACACGTTATTCGTTTGGTGTGGATCCTTCTAGACCTCTGTAGCTCATGTGTTTAGTATGATACCATTTATATAAAACAAGCAAACATCAAAAACCACAAAACAGATCTAGTTACTAAAAAGTTATTGTGTATGTGGGTATGAAATTTACTATATGTCTTTGAGATCCTTCCATTTGGTATACATCTGTCTAACTTCTCTTGTTAACAGACACGTAAAACTCCATGGTGCGGATACCGTGGTTTATTTAACCAATCTTCTATGGATAGACTTCAAGTCATTTCTAGTTTTTCACTATTCCATATGACCCTTGTCCTTGTGAACTCATGCAAGTGTTTCCAGAGCTGTGCTCTCCTGTATGGTAGCCATCAGTCACATGTGGCTATTTAAATTTAAATTATGGTTAATTAAATTTAATATAATTAAAATTTCAATTACTCAGTTACACTAATGACATTTCAAGTACTCAGTAGCCACATAGGGCTACTGTATTTGACAGCAAATATAGAACATTTCCCTCATCACAGAAAGTTTTTTGACTTTCACTGTGCTGGAATATAATTAGAATTGCTGAAACACAGGATATATGGTTTTTAGTTTCCATATACTTTAGCAGATTGCCCTCTAAAACGACTGTCATTCACATTTAGAATAAATGCAAGTGCTAATGTCCTCCCACCCATATCAAAACTTAGTATTATGGGTTTAAAACCATTTTGCTAATATTTTGATAAAAATGATGTTTTATTTGGTATTACTCTGACTAGTAGTGAGGTTGAAAATTTTTCTATATATTTTTAGGCCATTCAAGTTTTTCCTCTTCTGGACTTGTCTGTTCTTTTTTCTTTTTTTTTTTTTTTGGCCTGTTTTTCTATTGTCTTATTGTTAATCCATTTCTAAACATTTTTTATATATTTTATATACTAATCCTTTGTTTTATGTGTTGCAAATATCTTTTCCCAATCTATGGCTTGTTTTTAACCTTTTATTTGGGGAGTTTTTAATTTGGTCTAGTTTTTCTGTCTTAACATTTTTTCTGGTATGTTTTCTGCTTTGTTTAGGGAGTTTCCTATCCCTGGGTCATAAACATATTCTCTTATAATTTAATACTCTGAAAATTTTGGTTTGATGGTTTTTTTCTCATCCATTTTGGTCCTTCATCTGTATGAAATTTATTTCTGTGAGGAAGTGAGTTAGGACTCTTTTATTCTTAGTTTGAATAAGCAGTTTTCCAAGCACCATTTATTAATCTGTCCTTTACCCCATTGATGTAAAAGGACACCTTTACCCTATGTTAAATTGCCTTATAAATCAGGTCTGGTCTGTTTGTCTTTGGCTATCCCACTATCACACTGGAATAATTTTTATGTTTTAATATCTGGTAGGGTAAGTCTCATCTCTTTTTTTTCAAAGTTGTTTGGGTCTGTCTTACTCATTTGGTTTTTTTCATGAGCTTGTCGAATTTTGTGAAAAATCTTTTTGGAATTTTGATTGGGAATGCATTGTCTTTATGTTTAATTGCGGAGAATTGACATTCATATTAAATTTTATGGCCTTTATTAAATTGTCTTAGGTATTTTAATAAAGATCTGTATATTTTTCATTTGGTTCATTTTTAGGTAGTTGAAAGTTTTTATTACTGTTAAGAACAAAAACTATTATTCCTGCTTGTCTTATTGCATAGCCAGGACCTCTAGCACAGTGTTGATTAGAAATACTTATAGCTTATATTCTTGTGTCAACCTGGATAATCACCTGGGTAACTTTTAAAAAAACACTGATGCCCAGGTTTAATCCTAGAATATTTACATTAGAATCTCTGGAGAAGAGACCCAAACATCAACATGTTTTAAAGTTCTGCAGTCAACTTTAATGTGCAGTCAAGGTTGAGAACCACTGCTTTAATGAAGAATGCTAGTAAAGTTTTACCATTGGGTCAGATGTTTATGGTCTGTTTCTTATAGAACTGCTTTATCAAGTTAAGAATGTTTCTTTCTATTCCTTGAAATAGAAAGAAAAAATAGAATTTTTTGAAGTAATCATGTTTTTTCCTCCTTTAGTTAACTTGAAATTAGTTGTTACATAGAGTTTCTCATGAGGAACCATCCTTAAATTTGAGGGCGAAAATGTAATCATTTAGGTCTACAGTTAGGTCTGTGAACCATTTTGAGTCAATTTTTGTGTATGGTGTGAGGTATGGATCCAGTAGCATTTTGTTGTATGTAGATATCCAGTTGTTTCGGCACCATTTGTTAAAAAGATTATTTTTCCCCACTGAAGTGTCTTGGCACCCTTGTCAAGAATCAGTTGACCATAAATGTCAGAGTTTATTTCTGGACTCTGAATTCTATTTCATTGATTTGTATGTCTATCCTTATGCCAGTACCATGCTGTCTTCATTAAGGTAGCTTTGAGGTAGGTTTTGAAATCGGAACGTGTGAATTGTCCAATTTCACTTGTGATTTCTTCTTTTTTACGGTTGTTTTGGCTATTCTGGGTCCATTCTTGCATTTCCATGTAAATTTTATGATCAGCCTGTCAATTTCTGCGAAAAAAGGCAGCTGGGATTTTGCTAGGAATTGTATTGAATCTGTAGATCAATTTAGGAAGTATTGTCATCTTAACAATGTTGTCTTCTGATCTGTAAACATGAATGCCTTTCAATTTGTTTATAGCTTCCTTAATATCTTTCAACAATGTTTTGTGGTTATTAGTGGACATTTCTCACACTTCCTTTGTTAACTTTAGTCCTATGTGAGTTTTTTTGCTACCATTGTTAGTGGGATTGTTTTGTTAATTTCATTTTTGGATTGCTCATTGCTAGTGCATAGCGATACAGTTCATTTTTGTCTGTTGATCTTATGTCTTGCCACATTGCTGAAATTGTTCATTATGCTAATAGGTTTTTAGTGTATTCTTTAGACTAATCTATATATAATATCATGTCATCTACAAATAAAGATAGTTTTACTTTTTTATTTCCAATCTGAATCCCTTTGTTTCTCTTGCTTAGTTGCCTTGGTCAGATCCTCCAGAACAATGTTAAATAGAAGTGGTGAGAATGGATAGTCTTGTCTTTTTCCTGATTTTAGCATGAAAGCATTCAGTATTTCTTCATTAAATATGATGTTAACTATGTTAGCTGTGGGTTTTTCAGAAATGCCCTTTATCAGATTGAGGAAATGCCTTTCTATTCCTGGTTTACTGGGTGTTTTTATTATGAAAGGGTATTAGATTTTAATTAACCTCTTTTTTCTTCATTTTTTGAGATGATCAGTTGATTTTTATCTTTTATTATATTAATATGGTGTATTACATTGCTTGATTTTCAGATATTAAACCACTTTTGCATTCTTAGGATAAATCCTGTTTGGCTATGGTTTATAATTCTTTTAATATATTGCTGGATTCGGTTTGCTATATTTTGTTGAAGACTTTTGTATTCTTAAGGGGTATTGGTCTAGCTTTCTTTTGATTGTGTTGGTATCAGGGTAATACTTCCTTATATAATGAGTTGGGAAGTGTTGCCTCCTCTTCTTTTTTTTTTTTGGTAGGGGGTAGTTTGTGAAGTACTGGTACTTTTTGAATGTTTGGCAGAATTGCTAGTGAAACCATCTGGTCCTAGACTTTTCTTTGTTGGATGTTTTTTAATTACTTAGTTTTTTTGCTTGTTATAGTTCTATTCAGATTTCTATTTCCTTTTGTGTCAGTTTCAGCAGTTTGTGTGCTTCTAGGAATTTGTCCATTTCATCTAAATTATCTAATTTGTTGACTTATTGTTGGCTATGTCTATTTATAAAAAAGTATGCCTTTCTTTTCTTTCGTTTTATTTCCATAAAGTCAGCAGTGATGTCCTCTCTTTTCTGATTTTAGTAATTTGTGCCTTCTCTCATTTTTTCTTGGTCAGTCTGGTTAAAGATTTGTTAATTTTGTTGACTTTTTTCAAAGAACCCCCTTTTGGTTTTATTGATTTTTCTCTGCTGTTTTTCTTCTTCTCTGTTTCATTTTATTTCTGCAATAATATTTATTATGTCCTTTCTTTTCCTTGCTTTGGGTTTAGTTTGTTCTTTTTCTGATTTCTTGAGGTGGAAGATTAGATTATTGATTTGAGATCTGTCTTTTCTTTTAGCATAGGCGTATACAGCTATAAATTTTTTTCCTAAGCATTGCTATAGTGTAACCTGTAAGTTTTGGTAAGTCATGTTTTCATTTTTGTTCATCTCGAAGTATTTTAAAATTTTCCTTGTGATTGCTTCTTTGACCCATTAGTTATTTAGGAGTACGTTTTTCAATTTTCTCATATTTGTGAATTTCTCCAATTTTCTTCTGTTGTTGATTTCTAATTTAATTCCACTGTGATCAGATGACATACTTTTTATGATTTCAATTTTTTTTCACTTTATTCAGTCTTGTTTTATGACCTAGCATTTGGTCTATCCTGGAGAATGTTCCATGAGTACTTGAGAAGAATATGTATTCTGCTGTTGTTGGATGGAGTGTGCTATAGATGTCTGTTAGGTCTCATTTTTTCATAGTTGTTCAATCTTCTGTTTCCTTGTTGATCTTCTGCCTAGTTGTCTATCCATTATTAAAAGTAGAGTATTGAAGTCTCCAACCATTATCGTTGAATTATTTTTCCAGTTTTAGTTTTTGCTTTGTGTATTTTGTAGCTATGTTGTTCAGCACATATATTTTTATTATCATTCTATCTTCCTGACAGATTTAACCTGTTATTATAAGATGTTTTTCTTTTTCTCTCAAAATAATTTTTGACTTACAGTCTGTCATGTCTGATATTATGATAACCATTCCAGCTCTTTTTTTTTCTTTTTTTACTGCTTGCATGGTATATATATTATTTTCTATTTTGTGACTTTCATCTTATTTGTGTTTTTGAATCTAAAGTGTATCTCGTGTAGACAGAATATAGCTGGGTCATTTTTTTCTATCCATTTCAACAATCTCTGCCTTTTGATTGGAGCGTTTAAACAGTTTATGTTTCATGTAATTACCACTAAGATAAGGATTTACATCTGCCATTTTAATATTTGTTTTCTATATCTTCTGTCCTTTTTGTTACTCTGTTCCTTGATTCCTGTCTTTTAAATTAAACAGATATTTTTTAGTGTACCTTTTTAATTCTCCTGTTGTTTCTTTTACTATATATTTTTGAATTATTTTCTTAATTATTGGCCTGGGGATTACAAGTAGCATCCTAACTTAATACAATCTAGTTCAGATTAATAGTAACTTAATAATACACAAAAACTTTGCTTCAGTATACCTCCATTCCTCCAAAGGTGTACTTTTTCCTTTGTACTATTATTGTCAGATTATTATGTTTTTAATGTTATAAACCCATCAATACTGTTTTGTAATTATTGCTTTATGCAGTCATCTTTTAAAACATATAGAAGAAACAAGTTACAAATAAAAAAAAGTATGTTTATCCTCTCTTTCTTAATTACTTTTCCTGCTGCTCTTTATTTGTTTGTGTGGATTTGGATTGGATTTTAGTTGAATTTAAAATTTTGGTTGAATCTTTTTCTAACATTTGGTTTTTTCATCTCACTGTCTTTTGGCCTCCATGGTTTTTGTGGAGAAGTCAGCAGTTAATCTTATTCAAGTTCCCTGGTTAATGATAAGTCCTTTGTATTTTGCTGTACAACTTTCAAGATTTCTCTTTGACGTTCATCAGTTTGACTATAAAGTCTCTAGTTTTGGCTTTGTTGAGTTTATTCTACTTGGAGTTTCCTGAGCTTCTTGAATGTGTAGGTTAATATTTTTCATAAAATTTGGGGAGTTTCCAGCCATTATTTTTTCAAATATTTTTTTCTGTCTCTTTTTCTTCTCTTTTTGGGACTCCTGTTACACTTAAGTTGGTACACTTGATGTTTCTATAGGTCTCTAAGCTCTGTTCGTTTTTCTTTATTTCCTTTTTTTCCAACTCCTCAGAGTGGATAATCTCTATTCATCCATTTTCACGTTTGCTATTATTGCAGCTCAAATCTGTGTTGAGCCCTTCCAAAGTAGATATTTTATTTCAGTTATTATATTTTTTTTTAACTTCAGAATTTCTGTTTCGTTCTTTTTTATAATTTCTAGCTCTTTATTGATATTCTCTATTGGTAAGTCATCATTGTTATACTTTCATTCTTTATGATTTCATTCTTCATTCTCATGATTTCCTTAAGTTCTTTGAAGATATTTATGATAGCTGATTTAAAGTCTTTGTCTATTAAGTCCAAAATCTGGGTTCTCTTCAGGAACATTTTCTGTTGGCTGATGTTTTTTCCTGTGTATGTGGCATACTTTCCTCTTTCTTTGCATGTCTTTTAATTTTTTTGTTGAATACTGGACATTTTATATTAAAACAACTCCAGTATCAGATTACTTCATCCTCTCCTCTCAAAGTTAGTTGTTGTTATTTTTCTTGTGAAGTGAGTTACTTGGACTAATTCATTTCCTGTGGTATGTGGCCATTGAATTCGCAGAGCTGAGCTCTGAGTCCATTGAGAATAGAGATTTTTTTCAGGGAATTGCAAGTTTGAACAAAATATTAACTCTGTTCTGGAGGTGTTGCTTTTAACAGCTTCAAAAGAAATCAGATCTCTCCATTGTATGTAGTGCTGCTGGCTTTTGGCTACTTTCAACTGCACTGTGGCAGGAGGTAGAATGGGAATAACCCCAAGTAAAAATATCAGAGACCCTACTGCCTTACTGAGGTCTGGTAGTTTCTCTTGGATAGATGATTGTTAGTTCATTTTGTGATTTTGGTTAATTTACAGAGTTCTGAAATGGTTGATTTTTAGTTGTGTTCCTCATATTTTTGTTTGAGAGGGAAAGCTAGTTTGCCAACATCCCCTCTTCACCATTCTGGAAGTTGATCTTCCCGTTTTCATGATTTTTCATATAATGTGATGCTGGATTTGATTTACTGGTGTTTAAGACTTTTGTGAGTATAAGTGATATTTTTGAATTAGGTAACATCCAGTATTTTTCTGTGCTTTGGAATAGCTTGTATAAGATGTTTTTTTGATGGTGTAGTAGTTTTTAGGTCTGCTATGGAGAAAGGATTCTGCATTATTTTATTTGTTCCTAAGGATTCTACCTGCTTTAATATAATTTTATCGATCCTTTTACCAAACACGGCAGCCTTCCTACCTCTGCCTCAATGTGACCATATGCATACATCTTGTTTTATCTTTGTTAGTGTGTGTAATAGTACTTGGAATGTTTTGGCCAAGATTTTTGTCTGTGTTTTTCACTGCTTTATCCCCAGTGCCTAGAATGGTATCTATAACAGTGTGTTCCAAATAGGTATTTCTTGAATGAATAAATAACATCTAATCTCTTTAAATATTTCTCACTGCTCACTTATTTTCATCTCCAGTAATGTCTATCACTTCCCTCCATCCTTTCATTTCCTTCCTGTACTCAATAGTAGGAACTCAGTATTGTTTTAATGAATCTATGACACTTTTTGCAAGTAAAAGTTTATTGAGTTAATCTGGTTTTAGAGCTAAGTCTTTTCACTAACATCACTATTATTGTAACTATTAAATAATATATTTTTACATACCTGTTGTTGTAACATTCTTTGTTTTTTAGGCCATGGACACAGTCATTCCCTCTTTAACGGTGCTCTGGATCAGGCACATGGCCATGGAGATCACTGCCATAGTCATGAACTGAAACATGGTGCTGCACATAGCCATGATCATGGTCATGGACATGGACACTTTCATTCTCATGGTGAGTACAGCCTAAAGACTTTGAAATGGACAGCCTTCCAAATGAACAGAATTGTGTAGATTACTTTTCCTAGTTGAAATAGTCTGTTAAAAAGATATTGCAGTCAACTTCCTTTCTAAAAGACTAAATGGTTCCCAGGGCTAGTTCCTTTTTAGTGTATAATGAAATTAACTTGTATAAGGCAGTGGATATAGCTTTGTTTCAGTAATTATATCATAATAAAATACCACTATTTTAAATGAGTGTCAGTGAATGAGGAAAAGTTGCATTCTAGCAAATGAAAATCATGATTTTTTTAAAGTATGATGAAGCCTTTTGTGCTATATCTAGGCTTATAAAAATACAACAGAGGTTTTCAATTTTTCACGTTTTCATTGTAATTTTGTTATCACCTGATGTATTTGTGTCCATGTTCCCTTAGAAATCTTTATATGCTAACTTACATAGCATTGGGCACTAAATTATAAGACTTACATAGCATTGGGCACTAAATTATAAGATAATTTTCAATTTACTATTTTATTTTAAAATTATATTTTAAATAGTTTATTCATGAAGTTTTAGAGTATCGAGTAGTAGACAGAAGTTGCTTAGGTGATACAGTTTTATTAATCATTAAATAAATTATATGCTTAAATATTGTCTGTACTTGCGACATAGAATCTTAAAGTTTTAGATTTGAAAATATGAAAGGGGCCTTGGAGACTGAGTATTAACCCCCTAACTTTTCAGTCTCTAAAATTTGCTATGTTTTTGTAACTGTTACACTGGTATGCTTTAAAACCTTGATTTTCTAAGTTTTGCTCACATGCATCTCAAAATAATTTTGAAAACTGTGTATCACAGATTTTTAAGATGATTTCTAAAAAATGTTTGTTTAAATAATTGCAAAGAATATAACTTCTTACACATTGTAGATATTTTAGATTGAAACTTCTATATTACTCTATATTGAATATGTTCGGTGGTCTCTAAATACCTTAGTGGTTTGAGACCCACTATCACCCCTTCAAAAACATATAAACAGTTATAAATTTTACAGTATCCTGTTTCTCCTTGAATTCTTATTTCCATTCCATTTCCTTTCCAGAATGTTTACTAATGGATTATATTTGTGTTAAGTCTTTAATTGATCATCTGTTATAATTCTTGGCAATAAAATATGTATATAAATGTAAACTTTTTATTTCCTAGGAACAGAAGACTTAGCGTTTAAACATTTCTTTTCGATGGAGTTATTGTAATTTTTACTAGTACAAAGTCAGTCAGAATAATTCTGTTTTCAAATTTTGATACATATATAACCTTAAGAAAGCAACATTTTATTTGAAATATGTACCTTAATGATTGGAGCTCTTTTTCTTTTCTCAATTGGTTTATGGATAAATAACACTTACTAGCATAAAACAGGTTTTGGCATCAGTTGTGTTCCTATTTTTCATCTTTACAGTGTAAGTACTGAGAAACCTTAAATAGAAGCAATTCTGTTAGAGCACTTTCACTTAGTTCTTTGAACACCTTCAGAATTGCATTCCAAAAATTATATAATGATCTATTATTAAAAATTATTTATAATACTCTATTGTTAAAAATTATTTTTTATGATCTGTTAATTGGAAGTGTCATTAGCTAATCCCTACATTTTATTAAAAGAAAAGAATTGGAAGCCATGTTGCTTACAAAAGGATTTGCTAGCCATAGAGGCATTACTTTTCTAATATTACCAGCAACATTTGTAATTGACCCCTTGTTTGTTGCCCTAGAATTTTTCTAATACCCTGGCAATGCACTGTAGTAAGATTCTGGATAGGTGCAAGGTAGCCCTTTTTTGGTCAAGAGAGAGAAGGGTAAGTGGGAAAGAAGAATTGGTATGACATCAGGGCACAAAGAAATCATAGTAACTACTAAATGGAAATGCTAGGCTTTGAACACAGGGGATCCAACTCCAAAATCTGCTCTTAACTGTTACTCTGCCTTCACTATTATCTCAGCCAATCTGAGAATACAAAATTAACAGGGCTATGATTCCATTTTGCATATAAGAGACAGTATGGTCTCACTGGGAAATACTGTGAGCTTCATATTTATTGGAATGTTGCACTGTGAGTAAAGCTAGCTGTTTTTTTGTTTGTTTGTTTGTTTGTTTTAACTGGTCATATCTGAGTGACTTAAGCAGTAAAGGTTTATATCTTGCTGTTGGGTTGATACGGTCGAGGGTGGGGGCTCTGTTCCTCATGGCAATTCAGGGATCCAGGCTCTTTCCATCAATGGGATTCTTAACCCTTCAAGTCCACCACTGGATTCTCTGCATCTAGCTGGAGATAGAGTATATAGAAAATCATGTGGGACATTCTTATGAGCCTGGAAGTGGTTTACATATCATATTTTTTTGTTTACAACTCAGTCACATATACCACCTAACTCAAGGGAGCCTGGGAAATATAGTTTAGTTGTTTATCAAAGAGGAAGAAAAAAATGGATCTGTAAGCAACTAGCCAGTCTCTGCTACAGATAAATTTATATCCAGAAGAACTTTTAGGTTTTACATAGATGGGAGTTATGTTGTTTTATATATTATATTATATTAGTATAGCAGAATATATCTTTTAAAATAATTATGTCAAAAATGACTGTCTTTATCTGGACCTACTACCTACAGACAGAAATCTGGTGTCTTGATTAGGAGCTGGATTTTTAGAACAGTTACACTTTTGGCTATCAGCAGGATTTTCAAGGTAGCTACATCTTTCTCCCCACACAGCAGTGTCACATCCACATAGAAATCGTTGTGCAGCCTTATGCTTTCATACCTCTTCTGGCATTGTTGCAGTGCTCTATCAAAGCCGTAGTAATGAGGGTATGTCAGCTCTGTGGTGCTGTGGGCCCAGAACCACGACCCCAGGCAGGCTCTCTGTTAGTCGTGACCAGAAAGCTTTTGGTCCGCCTGATGATCCCTTTTAATGAATATTGCTAATCTTTCACATTGTTTACCTGTATTTTCTGCTTTGATGTTAAAGCTGATTAGTAATCTTCAAGTATTTCAATCTTCAAAGTATTTAAGAATAGAAATTGTAATTTTTTTTCATTTTTTCAACATAAAGGCAAAATGAAAAAATGTTTTTATCTCTTCTGCGTGAAAAGCTTGCCATATCCATCTGGAAGCTGTTGGAAAACTACTGTTTGCCATAGTTCAGTTTTCCTGGATGCTGTCCTAGCTTCATTTCTGGACTTCTTAATAACTTCAAGCAGTAGTTTTGTTTTTTGTGAATTTTTCAATTGTAAAATTAACGTAGCAAGCTATATAAGGTATGTTATGAATGTTAGAAGATTTTCAGTGTTTTTAACTTACTGTATTTTTTTAAGAGATTGCTTAATATAATAATTTCCTAAATAGTCTGTACCGTTGATGCATTTTGAACTTGCCCATGACTATCTGCATTAAATTACTACATTAAATTTTAAAAATAATTTTGTAGGTCTGATATGGCTGTATATTCATGCATCTTTCACAATACATTTGAATGAAAACTACTCTGAATTGCAAAAATTGAATCAGGAATTGAAGACATGTTTTAAAATAATTTACCTTAACTCTCTACAGATGGTCCCTCCTTAAAAGAAACAACAGGACCCAGCAGACAGATTTTACAAGGTATGAAAAGAAATTTGTATAATTCTCAGTTTTATGAAACTGGTTTCATAGTTTTGAACTATCTGAAGTTTTCCTTTTAGTAAAATACGTAATATAGAATTGGTGTTTAAAATGTTAGCCTTCCTAGTGATTTTTTTCTATATACAATTAGGTATATTAGCAGACATTCTTTTAATTGTCACTTGGCTATTTTCTCTGATTTAATAAGAAGATTAAAATATTCAGAAACTATACTGCTTAAATATAAATGATACCCCTGTGAATGACTATTGTAACACCATAGTAGTATGTTTGCCTTTGTAAGATTATTAAATAAGTTTTCCGAGAATAATATTCAATATGTGTTTATGTTGAGGAAAAATTTAGTGCTAAAAATGTAATACATCCCAACACAAAGAATGTACAACACCAAGTGTGAACCCTAATGTAAACTATGGATTTCAGGTGACAATGATGTCAGTGTAGTTTCATCAGTTGTAACAAAAACTACTTTGGTGAGAGATGTTGACACTGGGAGAGGCTATGCATGAGTTGGGATAGGGGGTATTTTGGAAATCTCTATTTTCACTCAGTTTTGCTATGAACCTAAAACTGCTCTCAAAAATAAAATCTATTATATTTTTTAAGAATGTAGGCAAAATGAGACCTCGGTCATATCCATAGGCATCAAATGATGGTACCTGAGGAGGAGCTTACATATCACGTAAAATGATATATTACAAAATTTTACAAGCCAGAGAAACTCAGTCTTGTCTGTGAACTATGGTAGTTTCTTTTTTGGGATGTAAACCAATCTTTGGCCCTGAATTTCCTTTTAGACTTCATTGTCAAAGTTTCCTAATTCCCAAGCTCCCCATCTTCCTGCCTTACTAACTTTTGACTTCAATTTAACTTTCTCAATAACTTGTGATCCCATCTCTACTGCACCTATTTTTCTCTACTGTTTCTTGGTATAGCTTTTGCACTTTATTTTTCCCTGTGAATATGTTCCTCCATACAGAGGACTTTATTTCAAGAGGCTTAAATGTGTCTTCCAGTCACTAGTTTTTCATTTGCAAAATATATAGAATTGTTTTAGAATGGCATTTGCTGAAATAGCCTGTAAACATGCATATGTAATGCATCTGTGTTCAATGCTATTAATTAGTCTTGATGTTAAGAGTTATTTTTAGTTTTGGAAATCATCACAAGCCAAGGGAAGAGAGGTTAGATTTGCCTTCCTAATTATCTTTTATACAAACTGTTGTGAAAATTAGTTAATGTTTTCTGAGTACCCATCAATTTATGGTGGCTGAAACAGCTCAGTAGATAGCTGAAGGATAGGGATAACTGCCTGGCATTAAAACTTTTTCACATAGATGCTCAAACACATGAAAACTGAGTGAACTGAATTTTTCATTTGTTTGCTACATCTTCAGTATAACCCCAGGCTTTCTAGGTTCTTGGGCAGTTAAAATATCGGTATCCTACCAGGTCTCCTAAGGCTTTCTACTTCTGTATAAGTTAAACATGTCAATTTAGATTTATTTCTTTAATGATTTTTCTTCTTGACAGTTACTAGAAAGTAAGAAGGGCATAGATAATTGATGACACTTGCTAATAAAGCCAACGGTCAGGTCAGCACATAAGATGCAGCCAGGGACTCTTCAGTCAAAGAAAAATGAAGAACAGAGGATTCTTTTTCCTTGCAGTGTTTAGAGCTATTTTCATTTCTGATCCTATCAAAACACTCATTAAAGAAGATAAAGGTTTAAAATCATGTCAGTTAAAACTTTTGAAGCTTAAGGATCCTCAATCCACTTCAATGTGCATTTTCTCCAGTCTTATTTTTAAAACTTAACATAGTCCCAACGCTCATTAATCTATTTATTTCTTTGCTATTTGTAATGCCCTAGAGAAACAGAATGTTTTTTCTATAAGTAAGCTTCTGGCATAATATTATTTTTCTTACAGAAAAAAGCCATTAGCATTTTGAAGAATTGTTATAAAGGTCAATACTCAATTCAAATGAAAAGTATATCAGGTACTGAGGGATGAATTATGTTAGATATAATACTTGACATAAAATTCCTCAGTAGCAGATGAATTGAAGCATATTTTCCTAGCGCACCTTAAGATTCGATTGGACCTGTTAATAGTCTGTTTTTAAGTTATTAGAAAGTGTTTTCAAGTTTCAGTAAGTCTGTGTTTTACACCTAACAAATAATAAATGCTTTGCCTTTAATTGTCCAGTGAATAGTAAAAAAGAAAAATAAGTATTTCTAAAGTAGACACATGCTTTTTTACATATTAAGTATTCCTTTTCAGGTAGAATAGTTGATGCTATTGAAGAATGTTTTATTTTTAGCAACATATGGTTGAAGTTTGTTCAAGAGACAATGTTTTGTTGTACAGTAAATTTTACCTAAAGATCTAAGTGTTAAATGATTTATTGTCTTAGTTAAGTATTTTTAAGAAATAATGTATTTTAAACTTACTTCTTGACATTTTTTAATGGTTTTCCAGTCAAGTATCAATTATTAAATGTTAATATTTAATGCGTCCTGGCTCTGATCCCATTTCTGATCACCAACTAAGACTCGGCACTCATTTCTGATGGAGGGGGTTTCCCCACATACCCCAAGAAATTCTCCAACACCCAGAGGTCAGAAGTCTGGGGTGGGACTGAAAGTTCCCACCCTCTAATATCACGTGGTTGGTTCTCCTGGCTACCAACCGCCATCCTTAGGTGCCGTCCAGAGTTACCTCATTAACGTTAACAAGAGATACCTTTGTCATTCTCATCACTTAGGAAATTCCAAGGGTTTTTAGGAGCTCTGTGCCAGAAACAGGGACAAAGACCAAACACATATTTCTAATTATAAATCACAGTATCACAATATTCCATCTAGGTTGTTGGACAGTTAGAATATCAGTATCCTACCAATTTAATATTTAATTATTAAAAGTTAAAAATATATTTTAATATTCACATCCCTACTTTCTTTCATATCAAGTTTGAGCTTAGTATGTGATTTTAGGTAACAAAACCTTCAGGATAATTAACAAGTATATCAGAGTTAGAGGAAATTCTAGTCTCAAGTGGTAATAATTTTAATTACCAGCAGAGGGCTGTGTGTGTACATATATTTGTGGTTATAAACAATGTTTTCTTGAAAAGTTCTTTCAGTCTAATGCAGTTTTCTTCTAACAAATTATTAATTAACATCTGGACTCTTTTAACCAGAGTTGAATGTGCTCAAACAATTTTTAAAATCAACTTATTTCTCTACTTCTTCATTCATATTATACCAAAATATTAAGGATCATTAAGAGCAAGTATAATTTATGAATCAGATATTTTAACACTGCTGATTTGAAAAAGGAAAGATTATTTCAATTCCCAAATATACTATTACTTTATTACTAAACAGAGAATCTACATTCGTTCTGATTTTTAAATTGGTATTTAGTTTTTTATATATAAAATCAAGAATATAGTTTTAAGAAATATTTCTGTTTTCAGTTGATCAGAAGATATTATTTTAATTCTGATTATGCTTTGTTTCTAGGTGTATTTTTACATATTCTAGCAGATACACTTGGGAGTATTGGTGTAATTGCCTCTGCCATCATGATGCAAAATTTTGGTCTGATGATAGCAGATCCTATTTGTTCAATTCTGATATCCATGCTTATAGTTGTAAGGTAAGTGTTAGTACTTTCAAGTATTAAAATGAGAGGTGGTAAATGTGCTACTTAAAATACAGATCTAAAATACAAATTATTATTATGTTGGTTTTCCTTTGGTCTTTAACAAATTCCTACATAGATTATTTCTCTTTTCATCTTCCTATTTTTTCCTCTTTGCCATTTATTTCTTGCCTAGGTTTTGATATTTCTTTTTGGTAATCTTTTTGGTCTGTAATTCAAATTAGTAGTAATTTTCTTGAATCCAATCTTCTATCTGTAGAGTAGAGCAGTGGAAACATAAAATGTATTAACTATAGTTAGAATCTTATTCGTTTGATGTCTGTATCTTGCACTATCATATGCAAAAGAATATTAAAGTCTCTTCTAGAACTATTTAATTTATAAAGTCATTGCAGAAGTCTTTTAAAAATGCTTACTAAGGTCTATTTATGTCTGTCTCCCTAATTCTTAAGGAAGAATCTGTCTCCTAGCTCTTTATCTCTCTATTGCCTACCATAGTGTCAATGTGTTTACAAAAGTGTGTGTATAAATTCTCAATAAATACTTGCTGAATTAGATTGTATAGTTATTATCTCCTAAATTTATCTCACCCAGAGATACATTTTATTATTGGTTTAATTTTTATCAGAATAATGGAATAATATGTGCCTTTATTTCACAGTCTTACATTATTTAATATATTAATTAATTATATATATATGTGTGTGTGTGTCTTGATTGGACTGTTTTTGTTTTGTTTATCCATATGATTTTATTGTCAGTAAAACTTTCTTTCTAATGAGAATAAAAACCTACTAGAAGGCAGGCCAATGATGATTTTGGCTTGTAGTTGAATAGAATAGACTTAATAAATTACAATGAAATTATAATCTTATAAATTAGTCATAAATACAGAGTTTTAAGTTTTTACCTAAAAAACAGGATATACATTTTAAACATGCAGATAATTTTTAAAATTTCTTTAAGTTATTTGTACTAGGAAGCAACTCTGCTACGTAAAAGTCTTTTATAAAGCTTGGAATGCCTCTTTTTCATCTTTGGATATCTTAGAACACTTCCTTGAAAGTTTAGCGTATGTGTTGCATATTCTATGAAACTTAACTCCTGATAGATTTGGTAACTTCCATCTGTACCTCTTTATTTGTGTGTTCAGTGTTCATTTTATTTTTATTTTTTTGTATTATAATTTTTAGCTGCTTCTAATACTTCTTAGAGTAGGATCTTAATATTCACTATTTTTTTGTATCCACTAATATTATCCTAATTCTCATATCATTTCTTGCTTGGGAGAGGTTGGCCTCTCTCTCTCCCTCTAAACTCTTCTCCACACTGTGGCTAAAGTGATCTTTCTTTAATGAAGATTATGATACATGGAAACATTATCTTGCTTAAATTCTTCAGTGGCTCCTTCTTACCTTCAGGATAAAGTCTTAACTTTTTAGTAGGGCTTCATGATGTTACCCCTTTATCGCTTCAGTCTTTCTCTCACCCCCTCTCAATTTCTGTTCAGCTCTCCAGCCACAGTAAACTACTTTCAGTTTCCTGAAAAGGTGTTGTGAGCTCTCTGGATGCTGGGCTTTGATCATCTTTCCTCTATCCAAAATACTCTTACTCTTAGTGTTCTTCTCCCTTTCCCCTGTCCCCCCACTACCGCCCAAGTAGATACATCACAACTACTCATCCTTCAGATCACATTTCAGTTTAAATGGCACTTCATTTAGGAAGCATTTCCTGATTCTCCACTTCTCAGGCTGGGTTATACCTGTAGCACCTTTTACTATTCCTCTCATGGCACTTACTTACTACAGTCATGCGTTGCTTAATGACAGGGATATGTTCTGAGAAACACATCATTAGGTGATTTCTTCATTGTGCAAACATCATGGAGTGTACTTACACAAATCTAGATGGTATAGCCTACTACACACCTAGGCTGTATGGTACTAATCTTATGGGACCACTGTTGTATATGTGGTCTGTTGTTGACTGAAATGTCATTATGTGGTGCATGACTGTATATTGAAATAGCCTATTTTATTTTCTCTTTTTAGCTCTGTGAGGGCAAAGTTTTTTATTGTTGTGAGGTCAGCACCAGATCTGCCAGGCAAAAAGTTGGTATATTTTGGATTTGACTCAAAATAAATTCATGTTTTTTCAGCCTCAGAGAGTTATTTTCTCTAATCCCAAATAGGGAATTCTTACTTAGTTCTATTCCCATTTAGTTATTCCATAAATATGAGTGAATAAATAAATACACACATACACCCATCCACACACACACAACTTTTTTACTGAAATATAACACATTAAAAAACTGCACAGGGGCTGGCGTGGTGGCGTAGTGGTTAAGTTGATGCACTCCACTTCAGTGGCCTGGGGTTCGGGGGTTCGGATCCTTGATGCAGACCTACACACCATTCATAAAGCCATGCTGTGGCAGCATCCCACATACAAAATAGAGGAAGACTGGCACAGATGTTGGCTCAGGACCAATCTTCCTCACAAAAAAACAAAAAAAAACAAACAAAAAGAAACTGCATAAATCATTTGCAACAAATTTTTCTTGAATCAACTCTCTCACCAGAGTGGTGAAAAGACAAGATACTTGCTGTTTTATTTTACATTATAGTAGCAAAGAGAAGCAACAACCAAATTAATAAATAAAGCACTCAAATATCAAGTAGTTATTTGTATTGTGCAGAGTTAAGATAGGATGATAGTAACTGAATTGCCACTTGAGATTGAGTGATAAAGGGAAGTCTTCTGAAAAGGGGCCATTTAAATTGAGATCTGAATGTCACAAGAGAGCCTGCCAGAGGAAGAACATTCTAGTCTCAGGAATAGCTAGTGTTTTTAAAAGACCTCTAGTGAAAACAGTGTTCGCCAATATGACTGAAGCATAGGGAGTAAGGGGAGAGTGGTTTGAGATCATGTTGGAGAGAGAGGCCTGGGTTAGGAGTTTGGATTTTATTTCAAGTGCAGTGGGAAACCATAGAGAAGTGATATTATTTGATTTGTATTTTTAAAAATCATTTTGGCTGCTGTGTAGGTAATGGATTATAAGGGGAAAGAATGGGAAAAGGCAGACCAGCTAGAAAGGTACTGTGGTGGACTAAATGAGAGGCCATGGCGGCTTGATCTAAGGCACTGATCTAAGAGGTGGAGAGACACAGATAAGATTAGAAAATGCTTTGAGCCTAGAGCTAATAAGATTTGCTCGTGGACATGAATGTTTAGGTCAGGGTTGAGTGAAAGAGGGGAATCAAGGATAATTCCTAGAGTTTTTACATGAGCAACCAAATGGATGAAGGTGTCATTACTGAAAAAGGAAAGACTAGGGGAAGAGTAGTATGTGTGTGTTTGTTTTTGAAGGGCATTGCGGATCAAAAGTTCTGTTTTGGTTGTTACTAAGTTTGAGATCTCTCATTAGACATTTATATGGAGATCTCAGGTAGGTGGTAAGTGTGCAAATATGGAATTTGTGGGAGCACTCAGCTGAATATAAAGGATTGAAAATAGTACACATATAGATTTAAAGTCATGGAGTGGCATTGATCTGACCTGAATGCCACAATTCCCACCCCTTCCATTTTCCTAGAAAACATCCTTCTTTTCTGCTGAGCCCAATTTAGCTTCAGGGTCCCTTTCAATATAGCACTCAAGCAGCCATTACCAATCAACTACATTGGCTTTCAAGATAAAACCTATGTGTTATCCTTGTCTAAGTCCTATTGACTTATTTAAAAAACTTTTTCTTAGTAGTTTACATAAATATATAGTCTCAAATTTATATAATTTGATTATTTTTCATTATTGTTGTTTAACATTTTAATTATTTGTTCTTTTTCTCAGTTCTGGTAACAAAAGTAGTACATGTTGATTGTAAAAAACTCAAACATTACTGAAATGTACAGCTTATCTATTGAAATGTTCTCATAATCCAACCTCTTGGAGATAAAGCAGAAAACTTAAACATAGCTTAAAATCATGTAATAAATGTTTTGGTGCCCACTCTGTGCTAGACAGTAAACAACATGGGCAAATACCCTACCCTCATGGAGCTTACATACAATTTTTTTTTTTTTTTGGAGCTTACGTTCTAGTAGGAGATAGAGTCAATAAAGCAGATCAATAAAGCAGATGAACATGCAAATAGATAATGTAATGTCATATGGTGATAAATGCTATGAATCAGGGTAAGGGGGTGCTATTTTAGAAAGTCCTCTGCATAAATTGACATTTGAACAGAGACCTTAATAGTGAAGGAGAGGGGCACGGGACTGTTCAGAGGAAGAGCGTTCCTGGTAGAGGGAACTTCAAGTCAACACAGTGAGACGGGAGCATGCCTGACGGGTGTAAGGAGCAGCGAGAAGGGCAGTGTAGCTGGAGTGCAATGTGCAGGACAGAGGGTGGTAAATATATGTATCTAGAGTTCAGGGAAGAGTGGGGTAGAAGATATAAATTTGGGTGTCATGAGCTCATGTATGGTATTAAAAGCCATGAAATAGGATGAGTTTGCCCGGAGAATGAAGATTGATAAAGAGGAGAAGAGGTCTGAGGATGAGCCCCGGGCAGGTGGGGCACAGGAGGCAGTTTCAGCAAAGGAGAGTAAAGTGAGTGGCCAGTGAGGCGGGAGGAAAGACGCAAGCATGCATTGTTTTAGGAGCTGCGTAAAGAAGGTGTTTCAAAGAGGGAAGAGCAATCAACGCTGATAAGTGCTGCTGGGACTGATAATTGGTAACTTAGACAAGATACCCAAAAGAGTGATGGAAATGAAAGCTTGATCACAGTAGCTTCAGGAAAGAAAGGGAGGGGAAGAAATGGAGATAGCAACTATAGTCAACTCCTTTTTAAGGCATTTTGCTGTAAAGGGGAGTAGTATGATTGCCTGGCAACAGTGAGGGCACTCTTTGAGGTTTGTGGTCATGAATTTAAAGTGAAAACAACCACCACAGTTGTATTTTTTTCTCTAGTCTTGTTCAGCTACTTGGTAG